TTTTTTTTGTGCTTGTACTTTATGATCTACAGGCTCAGTAGGCAGTTTCTTAAAAAAAAAAAAAGAAATACCTAATACATGACATTTTTGGCATTTGATGTTCTGTTTTATGATGTTTTTATATCATTTTAGTTTGCTAGTGAATACCAGTTTGGTGATTGTGCAACTTTTATTATAAATAATAATTTACGTATTTTATATCCAAAGTCTTACACAGTATTGGAAACGTTGTACCTCCTGAGCTAGGTAGATCGCTATTTGTTCAGTCGTGGAGTGTACTCCTGTTTACATCTCAGGATCTTGATGTGGTTTTATGCACATTGAAAGTCCAAACACAGGGTCTCTTGCCTTGCCATCAAATGTATTTTTTTTCCAGGCCAAGATGATATATATATTGAAATAGGGTGGCCACACTTGAGAAGAAACATTTATCTTTCTATTGATTTATTCTCCATTGCAGTCCGTTGAGTGATGTCCTTCTCTGTGCCTCTGATATTGTACAGTAATTATATCTACCAGGGTCTCTTTGGGAGCACTTGAGGGAAAACAAGCCGTGATGCAGGTTTAATGTGACAGTCTTGCAAGCAGGTCTGATTTAAATCCTTCTTGGACTCTGTTTGTACTTTGTGTGACGTCTCCCTGTGAGATTAAAAGAAATTCGGTCCTGACATTTACCGGTGTCCGCTGAAATGACGCCAAGGCCATAGAAGATTGTTGGTGTTTCTTAAAAATCGGCTTTGTGTTTTTAGATGCAGTCAGGTGATCAGATTTAGGATCTCGGTATGTCAAGTACCCTTTGACATGCACCTAGTTGTGACTTGGTATATCCAATATAAGTCAGCTGCTTTGAACCAAAGTATTCTTTGATCTGATATATATATACACACACACACATACACATATACACACACACACATACACACACACACACACATACATACACACACATACATACACACATACTTTATATTATCCTTCATGTTTTAAGACTTTGAATGTAACAAGTGCCCCGGGATTTGACCACTAGTTTGTGATCTTCACCTATAGATGGCATATTTAATATGGAATTCAGTAGCCACTCTGTCCAATCCAGAAGTCGGCAGGATTTTTTTTAAGGAGCGATCGCCATTGACTCCAACTAGAGAAACCTCAAAAATTAGGTGCTGACTGTGATATTTTTTTTTTTTTGGTAGTATTGACTACCAGGCTCCTGAGACTTATCTACTCCTGGATGGTACAAGCCAAAGCTTTGGAAAGCCATCTAGGTAGAGGCAAAAGAAAGTCAGCATGTTAGTGTATCGTATACTGCTGAGGCTTGTTGTCCTTCCCAGCTGCAGGGACATCTGTTGGACCGTTCTAGAACCTTTTTATTAGTCGCAGTTCAAAAATAAGTTATTTTATTTTGGAAATTACAGTAATATGGTCCTCCTGGAGGTCCAATTACTTTCTGGTTGGTCACTTTTCAAAATCAATAGACTAATTTTAGTTTTTGTAAGCCAGTCTCTGACTGTTGAGGAAGAACGTGTGTGCAAATGAGTAGAAAAGTCTCCCAAAAAAGTTAGGAAGTGCTCAAGGACTTTTTTTAAGGCATTAACTTTGACTACCTTGCTTTGCGTTTTTTGTCTGTCCTTGGGTATTAATGTATTTCTGAAAAGTAGAACTAATGGGGGGCGCCTAGAAGTCTATCCTCAACATTGTTTAAGTGGCATTGCCATTTACATATGCCACATATTTAGCTGAAGTGTATTCTCAATGAGGCATCTATGAACACTGCTTATCCATGTATACCTAGAAAGTAGAACCTCCAATGGGGCACCTAGAAATCTGGCCTTTTGATAGTCATTGTCATGAAGTCATTGATAACTGCCTTTTTACTTGCTGTTGTTATCTTTGTAATTTGAGAACCAACTTTTTCTAACCATCTAAGAAACCCTTTCAGGCTTGTGAGAAGGCAAATAATTCCTTTAGATTGTTTACTTGCCTAATCACTGATGTATATGAACATCATGTGTTCTAAATTTAAGGTAAGGAGTTAATTATGTTTCATCAACTATGGAACCTGGGTAACTTGGATATATCAGTAATTACAGGTGACAGATGGCAATCCTGAGCATTATCTGAACGTGTGTCGCATTAATCTATGTATAGTAGATAAAGGCA